TAGGCCCCCCACCTAGGCTCCATCTGAAACCTCAATGACTCCTGACTCCTGAATGGCACCTTCAGCAGCCTGCCACAGGGACAGAGAATCTGCACAGGGGTCTCCTGTGGCACGACTAGACCCAGGACCCCCCCCCCCCCCCCCCCCCCGCCCCAGGCCTCCAGCTATTTATGGGCTCTCCAGCCACCTGCTGGGCCCCCCTCCCCAAGGACTGGATGGACCCCCACCGATATTCAGGCTGCCTCCTCCATTCTTTCTCCCACTATATTTCTAGCATCTTCTAGAATACGAGAAAAAAGTAATCAGCTCAGCAGCCTCCATTGACTACAGTGGAGCTAAACTAAATTTGCCTTACAACCTACACTAACTAGGAAGGTGCTACGCCTACATTGTGTCAAGCTGGACTAGTGTACATATTCGATAAAGGTGATACCTGGAGTTCAGATTTAAAGTCAGAGTAAAGGCACTTCATCGCTTAAGAAGTTCAGTGAGTTGTGAAGGGCAAGCCTAATAAAGACTAGAGTTGTATGGATGTTGTTTAGTGGTGACTATGCTTGTTTTGTCTCATACTTGGACTAGGCAGACATCTGTATAGTTTGTGTGTGGGATCTAGGGGCTTTCTAGTTACATAGAAATACACCTGGGGATTAGCAAAGATGTCTACCCTTTAAATTGTAGAAATGTTTGTCCACTGCATTCTGTATTAAATGCAGTCAGCGGTCACATATGGGATTATGCCATAATTTGCTTTTCTTTGTATATCTAAATCAAAAATTATGAAGTACTTCAGAAATTTCTTCAATGATTACAGAAACCAAAATATCTGCCAAATGATGCTTGAACTATATAAATGTACTTCACTATAAAGTTACTTTTATCCATCTGAATGAACAAATGGGCCATTACTTGTAAACTATATTCATTGCAAGGGTAGCTTTTGGGTAGCAGCTTACTTCTAAGTGTGCTGCTTGATGAAATTGACAGAAATCCTACTAATTACAAAAACTATTTCTCTAAACTGCAATCATCTCTATTTTCATCTTTCATATCACACACTATTTACTAGAACAGTTACAATTAAATCAGGAACAGTCTGTTTAAAACACTTTGTAGTGGCTTCTCAGTTCATTTGTTCACACTGTGGCTGGGAATTGATGCTGCTTCTCAGGGTGAATGTCATCATTAAACTGCACAGAACAATTGGAACCATTGAAACATGGCAAGAAACTGTGAGGGGCGCAGAGAAAAGGAGATAACGAGAAAACTGATTTGGCTATTTTCACACCTTAAACTACCGTGTATAAATGTTTTGTCTTTTGAAAAGAGAATTCCAGGTCATGATAAATTTACCCACAACCTTATAACACAAAAGGAATACCTGTTCTTCAGCCTGCAGGGGTGTCTTAAAACATTGGTGGGTTCCAGGTGTGCACCCCCTATGAGTGAACTCCCATACCATCTTTGCATTCTTCCAGCACAAAAAGCATAGTAATTCCAAGTATATAGACAGAGAGGGAGAGATTTACCAGCCTTGTGGAACTGCAGGTCCCAGCATGTGTGCATATATCAGAAAGCAGGTCAGTCATGCAAAAATTATTGATGATAGTGGGTCAGCTCAGAAGTTAGTCAACATTGACAGCCCTCATGTTTCTAGATACAGAAGGATAGTGTAGCACAACTCTGGTGATGTATTATTGTAAAGTCCTGGATGACATGAGCATTTCGTCCCCCATATATATCAATGAAAACATCATACAGTAAACCTCACCCCTCTGAGCCAGTCAAGTAAAAAGGATGAAATACATTCAGAATTGCGTTGTTGCATGGACTCCCTGGACATGGTACATTGCCACAAATTATTTTCCCCCTTACAGCCAAGGCACACAAAATCTAGATAGACATTCGCTTCTATTGGTATACAAGGTGACAGAAAAACACATGGCTTTGGTGCAGAATCATGCAAATGACACCCAAATGGACCTTATATTTTGAGGTTACCATACCTCACACTAGACCAGTAAGAATTGTCCATACAGCAGTGGTGATATCACTGCTCAAAAGTGTTTAATCCTCTACAAACAGGGGTCTCCAAACTGTGGCCCAAGTGCCGGATGCGGTCCTTTGCCAGCCTTTATCCAACCCTTGGGCACTATTCCTCCCGCTGGTACAAACATAGGGGCGCTATTCCTCCCACTGATACAAACATTGGGGCACTATTCCTCCCACTGATACAAACATTGGGGCACTATTCCTCCCACTGATACAAACGTTGGGGCACTATTCCTCCCACTGATACAAACGTTGGGGCACTACTCTTCCTCCTACTGACCACCAATCCTGAGGCCATGTTTATGTTCACTAATGCTGGGCCCAGGACGTTTTTTCCCCCACTGGCAACAATCCAGCCCTTCTAAAGTCTGAAGGACAGTAAACTGGCCCTTTGTTTGAAAAGTTTGGAGACCCCTGCTCTAGATCATGTAAGAAATCTACTCTCTTGATGAAAAGGGGTGAAATTATACATAGCAATTCTACTGTTTTTATAAAAGAACTGATAAAGAATGAATAAGCTTGTAGCAACAATCTGTTTTAAACTGAATTATATTTTGTTCTAATGATCTGCATTTAATACAGCCATGCAGTAGTCTAATGAGGTCAAAAACTTGCAATCAACTTTTTATCTTTATTGTTAGCATTGGTTTTGTAATTTGACAAACAGAATGAACAGCATTTACAAATTTTGTACTTTGACAAACAGCAAAACTATGTTTTATCAACAACTGACAGCTGGTGAGCTATACACCTGTTGGCCCTGTTGAATGTGAGGTGTGACTCCAGAGTTATTACCAGCTGAGACTGGCGTATTCTTGAGAACTGTATTCTAACTGAACACTATTCTGACATGTTACAAGATAACGTTTTAGGCAATAATTCCATAAAGAATATGTAGAAGGAGGAGGGAGTAACATATCATAAAGTAACTTGGGATGAGCCTAATGTGCCAGTTCAGTTCAAGGTGGGTTAGCAGAATATGACTAATGTTTGGGTATCAAATCTAAACCCCATAAAAGTCATGGTAGCCATATGTTAAACAACTGTAATGGCTATTTTTCAGGCAAGGGATTGTCAAACAAATGGTATAAGGGGTTCCACACTGCCCTGGGGAGCAGGTACCAAAGCAAAATATTTTTTTAAATAATTCTGTTTTTCAGGGAGCAGTGATTTTTAGTAATGCTTTAAGTGAAACATTAAAACTACCCTCATTTTCCTAGATGAGGGTCTAGTAGGAATCTAAAGGATACCCCATACAAAAAAACAAGAAAGGCTTGTGACTCCCCATCCTGAACCATACCAGGCCACATACCCTCAACATGGGTGGGGGGGGGTGCACCTTGCCAGGGGGGTCAACCTTGGAAAGTACCTTGTCCTCATGTTGATTAGGACAAGGGCCTTTCCCCAAAAACCCTGGTCCGATGGTTGCAAGAGTGTGCTCCTCAGTGCCCAGCCCCTCCCCCAATCACCTGCACCAATAGGAGAGAGAGAGGCTGGATCTGCTCTGACTACTCCTGTGCCTGCCCACACTCCAGTCCGTGCAGCTTGTAAGGGGGCGTGTGGAGTAGGAAAATTGTATACAGAGAAGCCGACAACTCTGTAATGCTTCTGACTGAGCGAGTGAGCCATCCATGTAAGTCTTTTTCCTTCCTTCCACCCCTCCCATCCTTCCTCTCCTTCCTTCCTTCCTTCCTTCCTTCCTTCCTTCCTTCCTCTCCTTCCTTCCTTCCTTCCTTCCTTCCTTCCTTCCTTCCTCCCCTGCCTCCTTCCTTCCTCCTCTCCCTTCCTTCCTCCCCTCTCTTCTTTCATTTCCTTCCTTCCCTTCCTTCCTTCCTCCTTTCTGTCCTCTCACCTTCCTTTCCTTCCTTCCCTCCATCCATCCTCCCTTCCTCCCTCCATTCCTTCCTTTCTCCCCTTCCTTCATTCCTTTCCTCCTCTACCTTCCTTTCTCCCTTCCTTCCTTCCTTCTCTCCTTCCCTTCCATCTATTCCCTCCCTCCCTTTCTTCTTTCTTCCTTCCTTCCTTCCTTCCTTCCTTCCTTCCTTCCTTCCTTCCTTCCTTCCCACCCCATTCTCCCATCCCTCTCATCCTTCCCTTCCTTCCTCCCTTTCGTCCATCTAGTCCCTTCCTTCCTTCCTTCCTTCATCGATTCCCTCCCTCTCTTCCTTCCTTCCCTCCCTTCCTTTCTTCCTCCATCCCTCCCTCCCTCCCTCCCTCCCATTTCCTTCCTTCCTTTCTCCAGCCATTCCCTTCCTTACTCCTTTTTTTCCTTCCTCCATCCATTCTTTCTCTCTCTCCTTCCTTCCTTCCTTCCTTCCTACCCATTCTCCCATCCCTCTCATCCTTCCCTTCCTTCCTCCCTTTCGTCCATCTAGTCCCTTCCTTCCTTCCTTCCTCCATCGATTCCCTCCCTCTCTTCCTTCCTTCCTTCCCTCCCTTCCTTTCTTCCTCCATCCCTCCCTCCCTCCCTCCATTCCCTTCCTTCCCTCCTTCCTTTCTCCAGCCATTCCCTTCCTTACTCCTTTTTTCCTTCCTCCATCCATTCTCTCTCTCTCTCTCTCTCTCTCTCTCTCTCTCTCTCTCTCCTTCCTTCCTTCCAAATCTCTCTCCCTTCCCTCCTCCTCTTTCCTATTGTATCCTCCAGCAATAGCTTTCATGAATGCAGCCAAGAGAGTTTAGTTTTGTGTGGTAGTAGCTGGTCCCATGTGGGGACATCTGATGTACAGTAAAAGGGAACTCTGATGGGACACCTGATGGATGTCTATTTAATATTTATTTTTGTAACTGTATTCTGCATAAAACATTTAGCAATGTAATTTAATGTGATAATTTATGAGGGCGTGTTAAGGGGTGGAATTAAGGACTGGCTAGTAGCTCAGGACTTGAAATTTTGAGACACACACACACACACACACACACACACACACACACACACACACACACACATATAAACACTATATTGCCAAAAGTATTTGGACACCCCCAAAATCATTGGATTCAGATGTTCCAATCACCTCCATGGCTACATGTGTATAAAATCAAGCACCTAGACATGCAGACTGCTTCTACAGACATTTGTGAAAGAATGTGTCGCTCTCAGGAGATCAGTGAATTCAAGCGTGGTACCGTGATAGGTTGCCACCTGTGCAATAAGTCCATCCGTGAAATTTCCTTGTTACTAAATATTCCATGGTCAACTGTTAGTGGTATTATAACAAAGAGGGAGCAACTGGGAACAACAGCAACTCAGACATGTGGTAGGCCACGTATAATCACAGAGCGGGGTCAGCGCATGCTGAAGCGCACAGTGCCCAGAAGGTGCCAACTGTCTGCAGAGTCAATATCTAAAGACCTCCAAACTTCATGTGGCCTTCAGATTAGCACAACAACAGTGCATAGAGAGCTTCATGAAATGGGTTTTCATGGCCAAGCAGCTGCATTCAAGCCTTACATCACCAAGTGCAATGTAAAGCGTCAGATGCAGTGGTGTAAAGCACGCTGCCATTGGACTCTAGAGCAGTGGAGATGAGTTCTCTGGAGTGACAAATCACGCTTCTCTGTCTGAAAAATCCAATGGATGTGTCTGGATTGGGCGGTTGCCAGGAGACTAGTACTTGCTGACTGCATTGTGCCAAGTGTAAAGTTTGGTGGAGGGGGGGATTATGGTGTGGGGTTGTTTTTTTAGGGGTTGGGCTTGGCTCCTTAGTTCCTTTGAAGGGAACTCTTAAAGCTTCAGAACACCAAGACATTTTGGACAATTTCATGCTCCCAACTTTCTGGGAACAGATTGGGGGTGGCCCCTTCCTGTTCCAACATGACTGTGCACCAGTGCACAAAGCAAGGCCCATAAAGACATGGATGAGTGAGCTTGGGGTGGGGGGAAGTTGACTGGTCTGCACAGAGTCCTGACCTCAACCCAATAAAACACATTTGGGATGAATTAGAGTGGAGACTGTGAGCCAGGCCTTCTTGTCCGATATCAGTGCCTGACCTCACAAATGCGTTTCTGGAAGAATGGTCAAATATTCCCATAGACACACTCCTGAACCTTGTGGACAGCCTTCCCAGAAGAGTTGAAGCTGTTATACCTGCAAAGGGTGGGCCAACTCAATATTGAACCCTATTGGATTAAGACTGAGATGCCATTAAAGTTCATGTGCCTGGAAAAGCAGGCATCCCAATACTTTTGGCAATACAGTGTATACAGTATATATATATATATATATATATATATATATATATATATATACACTGCATATACATATACTCACCTTGACTTTTTCTGCTCAGCTCACTCTTGACACACCAGAAAAGGCGGCCGGGCACAATCTCAGAGGCTAGGTGCATCCCCATCCTGTCCAGTCAAACCTAACTGCAGTACTAGTAGAAAGCAAGGAGGAGGCAGGATCCTCCTTGGGGATGTTCCTGCAGTCCTCCATGAGAGGCAAGAGCACCTGAAAATGCTGAGAGAGATGATAGGGGGAGGAGAGTCATCTCTATATTGTGCATGTCATTCAGGAATGTTGGCACACTCTGGATGAGGACAAGGTGGATATTGGACCTATTTCTATATACTGTATGTAATATTTCCATGACGGTAGTCTTTTTTTTAAGTGTCTAAGTTTTTTTTTTTATGTTTGTAGGTGTTCTGTCTGTGTTATTAAAATGAAAATGTGTTGGTATATGAATATAACTAAAGGTGTGTGTGATATCAATTCAGTCTTATCTGACTCTTGGCGATTCTAAAGGCCAGCTCTTTCAGCACCATGTCTGGCACACTTCAGAGCCTGCCAGATCTTTCCTCAGTCCCCGTTACACAGGCTTGAGACCACCATGAAGAGCATTTTAACACACTTGCATAGCCAATTTGTACACACATTTTAGGGCAAGATTAGACAGAAGCTATTTAATCCACAATCATTTTTTGGAATGTGGGATGGAAACCCATGCAAGTACAGGGAAAATCTGCAAATTCTATGCAGCTAGTGTCCTGATCAAGATTTAAACCAAGGGCCCCAATGCTGCAAGGCATAAGTACTAACCACAAAGCCACTTTGTTGCCCGGTACGTTAGATTTACTGGAACACATACTATTTGTTTAATGGATGCTCCATTAAGAGAGAATTATGAAGTGAAAATCAAATGGTGAGAGCTCCCGACAATTTAGGAAATATGACATTGGCTCAGAAGAACAACTTATTAACAATTTAAATTAGTGCTGTTAATTAGCTTCCACAAAAGTTGCTCTAACATATATTTTGTTTGATTTTATTGCTTGTTCTAAAGTATATGAATATTTTAGTTATGAGCCTTTAAGGAATATACAGAAGATGTATTATGAAACAAATAATGTATGATGTTTCTAAAATATTTTCAATATTATCTTTCAGCAATATTAAATTAGAAAAAGTCTTCAAAGCCATACCTGGGCCCCACTGGACTAAAGATTGTGGGGCATGCCTGGAATGTGACCTTCAAGTGGTGCTTTCTGTATCTTGGGTCCCATGTCAGTTACTCATAGAACACTCTTGCGGTCAAGAAGACTTCACACAGCTTCTGGTGTGACCTGGTTTCTGAAGACTCACTGAATGAGTTAGCCCATGGACAGGGCAAAGATATATTGTTGTGACCTTTGGGTGTTGGGTTCTATTAAGGTGCTTTCCAAGCTTCTGGGTTCTAAGTTGGTTAGCCACAGAGTGCTCTCCAGTTTTAGAGGATTGGTACAACCTTTAAGGTCTACCCAGTCTCTAGTGTTTATATTGTAAAGCGTTGTGCAAATTGTTGGTGCTATATAAATTCTATATTATAATATTAATAGTGTCTCCCTCTGATGCAGACACCTTGGTAAGTGGTATCAGTGCTATAAGCTCTGCATAGGCTACTTTCCAGATTTGTGTATGTGTTTTAGAGCAGGCAAAGCATATATTGCCAAAACACACTGAGGGTTTTTTTTTTACTAAAGCCGGAGAGTACAAAATCAGGCTTACTTATGCATCAGCTTCAAACCTCAGCTTGTTCAATTTAGCTTTGGCAATAAAAGCTGGAAGATGATAATAAATAATTTTTGTTGGATTTTTTTTCTTTTTTTTCTTTTTTTTTTTTTTAAGTACAAAGTACAGTGTCAGCCACATAATAGTACATAAATATAGATCGTAACTTCAAAAAAAAAAAAAAACAGTCAAAAACAATCGTGTACAAAAGGAACGTAGTAAAAACAGGTAACGTTCAAAACAACTTATCAGAAGGTAAAAATAAGACATACATTCTGTGTCTTTTGGTTAGCCAGTACACAGAAAAGGTAGTCTGGCATTAACTCAAACACTAGTCAAAGAGTATAACATTTATGAAATACTTATATATTCCAAACTAAGAGACGTATAGGACATCTCACAGGTTGTAGGACATCCCTGTGGGAGAGTCAAGAAACAGAAATCAAAAGAGGAGAGAGAGAAAGAAGAAGATAGAGGCAGTTTAAAAAAGAATGGACATCTAGAACATCTGAATTCTACTTGAAGGGTTAAACAGATTAAAGTGAGCTAAAGCTGTTCGCTGAAATCTCAGGATGGGGAATGCTGGATCCATGGAGTCCAGGTTTTGAGGAAAAGCTGATTGGTTTCTGTGCAGAAGTGAGCCTAATTTTGCACTCCCCAGCTTTAGTAAATAAACCCCTATGGATCTTCAAGAAAACTTCCAAAATTTAAGTTTCCAAATTAACCACTAGGGGACCGCCCGCAGTACATATACTGCTATAAGGCGGCCCCTGCGCATATAAACGTGATCCTGCTTTCCGGGGTAGGAGGCGTGCACGAGGCACGTGACCGCCCTACCCGTGGCATCGATCACGGCCACAGGTGTCAATCACCGGGTTCAGGCCGGTGATTACCCGCCGGAGCATGGCGATTGCCAGCAATCACTGACAGAGAGGAAGGCTGCATTGTTTTCAATGAAGCTTTCCTGCCTGTCAGCTTTCAGCTCACTGCTCTGGGATCGCTGGTCACAGCCTTCCATGACTCTGTGTAACAGAGAGGTACACACCCCTGCCCCCTAGTAAAACACTCCCCTCACATAGTTAAACCCTTTGTCGCTGCTTGCCGCCATAAGTTGCTAATCGCCACTATTATTAATATAGAAAAAATTAAAAATCCAGTATCTATAACGCCATTTGTAAATGCTATAACTTTCACGTAAACCAATTAATTTACACGTATTGGGATTTTTTTTTTAGCAAAGATATGTCACAGAATATATTTTGGCTGAAAATTATGATGAAATTTGATTTTTAATTTTTTTACTGGACATGTTTTATAGCAAAAAGTCCAAAATATTGTTTTTTTTTTCCTCAAAAATTGTCAGTCTTTTTTTTATATTGCAAAAAAATAAAAACCGCACAAGCGATCAAATACCACCAAAAGAAAGCCCAATTCGTGGTGAAAAAAGGATGTAAATTTAATTTTGGTGCAGCGTTGCATGACCGCGCAATTGTCAGTTAAAGTGACACAGCGCCATAACACAAACCGCTTGTGTAAACCGCTTCCTGTCCACCCTATAGCAGAAATACAGCTACAGGGCGGCACAGGTGCGCAAAAATCACATATATATACACGTGATTTGCGCTCCCTTGGTTTTCACGCCCCTCCCAGATGGCGTCAGATTGCCCATCAGTACACCAGTCATCACATTTAACCCCTTGATTGCCAGGAAGATGCTCATACACAATAAACCTCCATTGCTAGTATTGTGCCTGAACGGATCAATACGTTTTGATCAGATCAGAACTATACCAGCGTTCACATTAGTATAGCGTCCCCAAAAACACAGCGTTAGTGGGGTCAGCCCCGGCACCTGCCAGCACCTGCGTTTAGCCCCTACTCTTACCCCCCCTTCTCCCCCAGCAAGTGCAGTGCCAGTAGGTCACTTGATCCATTGCACACAAAACTGCAGTGTTTGCAGAATCAGGCCTGATCTCTGTTAGCACTTGCCGGTAAATTTTGATGACTCTCATATGCAGCAGAGTGCCAGTACTAGTGCTGCGCTACCTCTTGGTGAACTGGCGAGCATCAGCGGTCTAGTACATCCTGGTCTTTCACATACCTCTTAGATTGTAAGTTCCAAGGAGCAGGGCCCCTCCTAACCCTCTTGTATTGAACTGTATTGTTGCTGTATTGTCTCCCGTTATATTGTAAAGCGCTGAGCAAACTGTTGGCACTATATAAATCCTGTATAATAATCATAATATCAGCACTGCAGCATCACTTGGTGACGTCGTAAGTCCCATAAGTGCAGTACAAGCCGGTGCGGTGGCGAGCACAAGTATTGTCCAGCAACCACCAAGAATTCACACACAGGCCCCAGGAGCCCCTAGTATCCTTCCAGATGTGCTTGCAAATCCTGATTGACAGCCCACAAATTGTGCAGCATCCGTACTTCCCCCATTCACTGCCCAACCCGGAATTCAGGTGGAAATAGCAAATTTAACTACTCCCCTTGATTTTTTGGAGCTGTTTTTCACGGAAGATCTGTATGCATTGATTGTGGATCAAAGCATTTTATATGCACAACATTGTATCGCCGCCAACCAAAATTCAAACCATGCCAGACCATTCGCATGGAAACCCATTACGGTTTTTGAATTTATATTTTTTTGGACCTAACCTTCAACCTGGGCATTACTAAAAAAAATTAATTGCGGTTGTATTGGTCCACAGACCCGATTCATCATATGCCCGTG